TGTGTCCCTGTCACGGCAGGGGTTGGGCTGGGTGGCCTCTAAAGGTCCCTTCCAAGCCAAAGCGTTCCGTGATTCTATGATACATTAAGGTAGGACTTGTTAAGGAGAATTAAGTGCTTGCCCAGCAATTTCAGTGTCCTGAAATTAGGAGGCAGCCACCACCAACGCAGCACACGTTGCTGGTGTAGATGAGCTCAGCTTGCAGCGTGGTGCGTTGTCTCCTTCCCTCGAGACCGCAGGAAGCCGAAGGTCTCCGTTGTAGGAAGCCGCCTGCCTTCCCTGGGTCCAGGGTAGACCTTAGCAGTGGATTTTGCAAAAACTAGGAGCAACCTATATCACGAGGAGTAGCACGCAGCTGGGTGACAGGCGGTGAGGAAAGGGGCCATGCACACGCTCAGGGCTGCTCGCCTGCCTTCAGTCCAGCAGCACTGGCACCTACCAAAGCCTGCAGCTCCAGCCAGGGCTGGCAGCTTTTGTTTGGCACAAATTCCCCATCTACGGCAACATTTCTGACTCCCTGTGCTGCTGACTCCCCTCACGCCGTGTTCTTCTTGGGGTGTCAGGATGTTGAAAGGACGATGCCAGGTTGGAGCCCGTTCTTGTTGGTATGTTTGGTGTCAGAGGAGGCCACAGGAAGGAAAGAGGTGTTAACGCTTGCAGCCGAGCCCCGGCGGCCTCGCTCGGCTTGTGTGGGGTTTGGAGGTGCTCCCTGTAGCGTGGTTCGCTTTGGTCGCAGGAGTAGCTAAAATCTCAGGAGCCAAAACTTTCACATGCCTGAAAACATTAAGGACTGTGTCCTTGTCCTAGCAGGGCCTGAACTCACTGGTAAAATAAATAGACTTTAATTTTTTTTTTCCTAAACTGTCTCAGAGCTGGTCTTGCAGTAGCCAAAGCCATTCATGACCCTTTGAGTGTCTTCCTCCAAACCCAGGCTGTCAGTGGAGAGCAAGGCTGTGGTGTGAGCTCCCCTTTGCCACCCCAAACACTCAGAAGGAATCGCTTGCTGGGACTGAGCAGCTCAGGTAGCTTTTCTCCATGCCTGGCACCAACCTCCAGCTGGAGAGGGGTACCCAGGCCGGTCCTGCTGCCATGCAGTGGAAGCACCCGGTGCCAGCATCGACCAAGCACCCCGCAGCTCAGCTCACCTTCCCCACCCTGCCCTTAGATTTCGTTAAGGGCTGTTACGGCTATTTTTATCGCCGTTTCCTGAAAAGCCACTTCAGTGGCTGCTCCATTTGCGCTGAGAAACACCATTCCCCCAGGGAGAAACCTACCCCAGGGCACTTGTTTTCACAGCCAGCCCCTGCATGGAGCCAAGGGAGGCAGCGCCTCGCATGCATACTTGGCACAAGGAGAGGGTCCCCGCTGCGAGGTAGAGAAGGGGAAAAATTAGTTCCACTCCAAAGAGCCGTGGAAAGCAGCTGCGTGCTGTGGAAGCGAGCGTAAAGCCCTGACAGTGCCAGAGCTGGCTGCGTGCGGGGCCAAGGGGTGACATCAGGAAACCCGGGGACGGTGCCTTCGCGTTGGCCGGGCTGCGAGCAATAGTTGATGTAATTGCTTGTAGAGACAAGGCTGTGCAGGGGTGGCTTCCAGGCAGGAGGAAGGGGGTTTTGTTTTTTTTTTTATCCCAAGCAGCAGAACGGGAGCTCGATGCGAGCTCCCCCGGGGCACGCGTGTGCCTGCCAGGCTGCCGAAACCAGCTCCTCTCTGCTGCGGTGAGGTCCGTTCAGCCCAGCCTCGCACCCCAGCCCCGTGCATCCCTCCAGCCTGGGTTCAAACCCTCCTCCCTGGAAACAGGGCTACCTCCTGCCAGCGCTGCTGGCCAACTGGCCTGCAAGACGGCAAGCAGAGCCTGCCTGCTCCCTCCATCACCCATGCCGCCAGCCTCCGAGAGCCGGTGGGGAAGTTTCCCCAGCCCATCACGGTCCCTCACCCGCAGGGCCGAAGGACAGTCACCTTTCCATGCAAGTCCTTGCTGTCCCACCCTAAAAGCAGCCCGGTTTGGCTCAGGAAGGGGTGCGAGGTGTGCCCGATGGGCAGGAGCAGCGCTTCTCCCACCTCCTCCCCTGCGCCCGTGCCACCCGTCCTGCAGCAAGCGCTGACCCGAGCTGGGTGCTGGGCCAGGCTGGCACCTCTGCAGGAATCGGCACCCTCTTTGTCCCTCTTCCCAAGCCACTTCAGCCAAGTCACCCGGGCTTTCCCCCTGGGAAAAAGCCCCCCGCTGCGCCCACCTCCAGCCCTGCAGGCCCCTGTCCCCCGCGGGAACTGCTCCGCGGCCCCTATTTACAAAAGCTGCATTCAGTTCCCTGCAAACCCACGCTCACTTTTTCCAGTAAAGTCTTTCTCCAGGAGCTGGATGATGACCCAGCCCTTCCCTGCGTGTGCCGGCCGGCGCCAATTGCTATGGAGAACCACGGAGCTAACACGGCACAGACAGGCAGCTCACAGAGGAAGAGCGCTAGGTTAACGCAAGTCAGCTATATTTAAAACATTTAATACAAATATGTTTTGACAAGTCCTGTAGTTGTTTCCAGCAAGCATTGGAGATGCGTTTTTCCCTCCCTTAAAAACAGAACAGGGCCCAGAGCTCCAAAAACACCCAATTTGTGACTTCTTCTCTCGCTCCTTCCTGCCCATCACCCTTTCACCCAGCCCAGTCCTGCCTCCAACCCCGCCAGGGCCCAGTTAATGGAAGAAACCTCCCGCATCGAACCTTCAGGAGAAGGCAGCGAAGCTGAGAAGAGGCTACGAGCTCCCCTCCACCGCTTGCATCGTCAGCCCAGGAGGCAGGACTGCCTGCCTTCAGCTCGAGGGTTCGGGGAGCTATGGTCCTCACAGACACCGGCAGAGGAATTAAATTAAGGCGTTTTGCTCAGACGTCCCTGAGGATGAGCCTCCCGTCAGCCCACACCGGATTCCGGAGCGCGAGTGGGGATTTGTAACATTTAGAGGAGATTGCATGGGGGAAGCCTCGACCCTCGAGGGGCTCACAGGGCTTCTGCCTCCTTCGCCGCCTTGGTGAGCCGCTCCGTGATGAGGCCGAGGTCCTTCCCTTTGTCCAGTTTGACGTAGGTGTCCGTCCTGATGGCGTGGATCCCCACCCAGTCGGGCAGCAGCTCTGCGAAGAGCCGCAAGTGTTTCTCCATCTCGCCTGCGAAAAGGAGCGGCAGCCGCCGGGTCAGAGCTCGGTTCCCCAGCCCGACCCTCCCGCGCCGGCAAGGAGAACCCCCCCAAGCTTTCCTACCGGGAGGCATCTGCGCGTCGTAGCTGTCGGCCATGCGGGCGCAAGCCACCTCCATGGTCAGCGCCTGCTTCTTCTCGGCCACGAAGACGTTGCGCAGGATGCGGGCCCTGGCCGGCCGGCCCCCCCGCCAGGGTCCCCCTGCTGCGGGTCCCGCGTCATCAGCGCCTGCAGCTTCTGCGCCTCCTTCGCCCGGATCTTGGGGAAGCAGAGAAGATGGGGTGAGACGCAGGCAGGTCCCCTCCCTCCCCGGCACTGGCGTTACGGCCAGGACCGAATTACTCACCCTCTCGAGCAGAGCCTGGGACACCCCTTTCAGAGCGCTGGAGGTGCTGGCAGGGGACGGTGCTTTGGAAACCACCGGTTCCCCCGCACCGGTCTCAGCGGTTCTTAAGGCCAGGTTGGCAAGAGCTTTTTCCATCTGCTCATGTGGAAGAGGGAGGAGGAGTTGGGTTACAGCTGGGAGCCACTCGCACTGGAGGAAGAAGTTTCCCCTCCGCCACCCCGCAAGCCCAGCGCGGCCGACCCATCCCTGCCTGCACGGAGCACGGTTTGGGGTGCTTCGTCTCCACTCCCAGTGCCAAAGTCGGTACCAATGGCCCAAAACCAGTCCTACACCACAGCCTGCAGCGTAACAGCCAGGCTCGCGTTCCCACCTGCCTACATCTTACAGTGCTCCGAGTCCCGTGGCTCTGAAACGATCCTTCCCAACCCCTCTCCGGTAACATCTTCCATCTTCCCGGAGACACCGGCTGGTTTGAGTTCTGCCAGCCGCAGACAGAGCCAGACCCTGGTTCCCAACTCACCTTGGGGGTCCGCATCCCCCGAGCCGTGCTCAGCACCTCCTGGGCCGTGGTGAGCTTGTCCTCCTGGGGCGGCCGCGGCAGCTCTGCCGGGCTGATGTCCGGCACCTCGTCCACATTGAAACGGGGATGCCAGCGCGTCAGCTTCTCCTCCGGCACCACCATGGGAGGGTTGAGAGCAGCCAGGAACGCCTGGAGAGGGGCGAGAGCTGTATCACGGTACCTACAGGCCGGGTACGGGGGAGCAGGCCATTGCTCCCAGCACGGCTTGGCACATACGGCAGCTGCTTTGGAGGAAATTCAGAGCCAGGAGAGATTCCAGCCGCCCTCCTCCCCACCCACACCTGCGTGCCAAGAGCATCCCACAGGAACCAGCGATGCCTTTCAGCCTGGGTGCCAGCCTGCTCCTTCCACCCGCTTCTCTAGCGAGCGACCAGAGCAACTCCCGACCCCAAAAACGGAGGGTGCCGGGGGGGACCTCACCTTGTGGTGCTGCTTGACGATGTTCACCAGGTTGCGGTTGAATTCCTTCCTGCGCTCCAGCAAGCGCGACGCCGACAAGTGCGGGCGGCCATCCACCTTCTCCTCTGCAAGGAGAGACGCCAGCGTCGCCCGCGGCACCTCAGCAAAGCGCGGCAACGCCGCGATGGGGCCCAAACCTCGAGAACCTCGGGAAGGATGGGATCGGAGCCCCGCCGTGGGGCTGAGTCGCTGCCAAAATCGCTGCCCTAGCATCCTCCCACTCGCCCCAAAAGTGTTTTCCCACTTCCAACACACTCAGGCCCTTATGCACAGATGATTATCCGATGGACCAAGCAGAGAGCATCCCGAGGGATTCAGGGATCCCAGCCGGGACCGAGTGCACCCCAGCTCTTGGCCCGCATCCCCCCCAAATTGTACGTACCTTCCCCCAGCACCGGCTCCAGCGTGAGCTGGTAGTCGGACTTCTTCAGGCCCTTATGCACAGATGATTATCCGATGGACCAAGCAGAGAGCATCCCGAGGGATTCAGGGATCCCAGCCGGGACCGAGTGCACCCCAGCTCTTGGCCCGCATCCCCCCCAAATTGTACGTACCTTCCCCCAGCACCGGCTCCAGCGTGAGCTGGTAGTCAGACTTCTTCACACTGTTGCCGAAGGTGGGGATGTTCTTCTCCCGGCGCAGCCTGTACGAGGTGGGGTACACCGCCTTGATCTGCCCCACGTGCCGCTCCTCAAACCGCCTGCAACAGCACCCAGAGAGGTCGGGAACCCCAAAGGCTGACACCCGGGCATCGGCCCTGACGGCTTCAGCCACGACCCCAAAACGGGCTGCCCGCTGCTGCCAACTTACTTGCGCATCATGTCCTGCACCCCCTGCTTGACCTTCGCGAAGGTGATGGTCTCGGCGCGGTTGAAAAGCATCCCGGCGATGGTGTCCACGCTGCGGAACATCTCCGCCAGCACCTTGAACTTGTAGGGCAGCGTGAGCCCCGGGGGCAGGTCCTGCGCGAGGGTGTGGAACCGCTGGTACGCGGGGGGCTTCTCTCTGCCAGGAAAGGAGAGGGGTCAGGGTCCCCCGACGCACAACA